TGACTTAGTGATACGTGAGTGTGTCGGGTGGCATTGTAACATACACTTCTTGCCAGAGTGGCTCCTTCTGTCACCGCAGTGGGAAGCTGGTCCTGCCACTCTGTTGCTGCATTGCCCAGCCTTTGCTCGAGGCCCATGGCAACCTCCAGACTCCGTCTGACCTCGTGCTTAGCCACGTGCAAAGCTGTGGCTTTGCCTCCAGGCTTTGGGGCCTCTGTTCCTACTTCCTGGGAGAATTTTTCCCACCTCTTTCCATGCAAGCTCTTACCTGCCCTTCAGGACCTGGGTGAGGCTTTGCCTGCCCTGATCTCCCCAAGAATGGGTCAGGTGCCTCCAAAGGTGCAGGCCACCCGGCCCCCATAGCTTCCTCCTAGTCAGTGGTCTCCATGGGAAGCTTCATTCAGTGGCTGAAGTGGCCTTGGTGAGAGTATATTGCTGAAATTGCCAAACATGACAAATCAGGCCCTTCTGGCCCCGCACACCATGGGGTGCCCCCCGAGCATCTTGGACCTCTAGCCCCCAAACTGTGGGTGACCCTCTGGCCCCCTCACTCTCCAGTCACCTGGAGATGGGCCTCATTCTGTGAGCCCTCCAACTCTAGCCCAGAATTGGTCCCGATTGGAGAGGCTTCGTAGTTTTGAACGGATGTGAGAATGATGCCTCAGTGGTGATGTATCTCAGTTCCATCCAACCCTCCAAGTTAACAAACCACAAGCTTCCTGAGGCCCACACCTCTGCCAGCTACCCTGAACCTTCTGGTTTTATGCCGAGCCCCAACCTCTCCCTGGAGCTCTTTGAACCAGGGGCCCAACCACACTATTCCCTGAGCGTCTCCCAGCCCCAGTCTCCAGAGGTCAGCCTGCTTGGTGTCAGCCAAAGTCTTGCCACAGAGTGAGGATGTTATAGGGAAGCTCTGTGCTGGAAATGCACAGACTGGAGCTGAGGTGGTGGTCACAGCAGTAGAGGCCAAGTTCAACTTCAGGAATAGTCAGGCCTCCCTTCCTCCCCCACATGAGGTAGGCATTCCTCTTACGTCCATTTCATGGATAAGGCACTGAGGCTTATATATAACTGAGGAACTGGGTGGCTACACAACTTGCCAAGATGTGATTCAGCCTTGCTCTTAATCACCACCCTTTTTTTTTTCCCTGTTTGGTTAATGGCCCATCTGGGACTACAGGCTGAGGTCACGGATGGAAAGGAAATGAAACATGCCAGTAATCCCAGAGGCACTCATCTCTCCACGTGCGCCCACGGTTCCAGCCTGTTCTCCCACCTGTTCTCCCCTGACCCTTGATTGCGAGCTCACGCAGGGGTAGTGAGGGTTAAGCCAGAGGGGTACCTGGGCAGGGGTCAGAGGTCCACAGTCGTCAGCTGTCATTTTCATGGTGGTGGTGTTGTTCTAGGAAGAAATAGTGCTGAGGAAGGAATGGTAGAGTCTGTGGGAGGCAGGGGAAGCAGTGAGCGAGGGCCAAGTGGGCAGCACTTTCCTGCAAAGGGCTTACCTGGTCCCAGGTCTCTGTGCTGTCGTGAAAGTGGCCACAGGCACTAAGCCACCAAGACATGGCCGTGAGACGAGGAAAGTATGCTTCCATACTGGGTGGGCGGTGGTGGATTCACCTGCGGCCGCGCCCTGCAGCCCTCTGAACAGAACACCCGGCAGCCAGTCCGGTACGCGGTGAAGCAGAGCCTTGCCTATCGGTGGACAGGGCACGGGAAGAGACATCTTTCTGCCGCCTTCACGTCTCCATCACTGTCTGAGTTGTAGGGGCTCAGCTCTTTCTACTCGTACCTCTGACAGCCGCGGGCCAGGGCGCTGCCCTGCTTGGGGCACTGGGGATCCCCCAAGTAAAGACAAGCAGGAGGTCACTTCTAGGAGCAGCTTGGGCCCCCCTGCTCCCAGGCCAGGCTAGCTCCCGAGTGCAGAGCTGCGTCTCCAGGGAAGTCAGGCCTTGGCAACAGAACCCTAACCAGAGGCCGCCCTCACCACCCTCTGCCACCCCAGTTCCCTTCTTTGAGAACTGGTAGTCCTGATGGACATGCACCCGACCCCACAGACTTTGTTTCCCTTGTGTATTTGTTTTGCTTTTCTGTCTTCTTGGGTTCGCCTGGAAACATCTTTAATGAGTCTCTAAATAAAAGCTCTAGGTTGACACTAAGGTGCACCCTGCCCAACCCTTCTCTGTGTTTATAGGGAAGCCCTCCCAGACTCAGCTATAATTAGAAGTCAATTAAATTAGGAACCCTTAGTATTGTTCTTGGAAGGCCTCCAGGGCTGCAGCTCTCCTGGGGAGGGCCTCTGGCCTGGCTGCGCTGCACTCATCCCTGCTACCCACCATCCCAAAGCCAGGGCAGGGCTGTCAGTCGGGCAGGGAGCGGGTTCCTTTGTATCATACCCTCCCCACCTGGCGGGACTGCGGGTCAGGCCTCCCTCTGCCTCCTTCCCTGCCTGCCCCAGCTTGCTCCGTTGCTAGAAGGAAAACACCCAGAAGTTCACTGCTGGGGTGGCTGGGTGCTTTAATCTTGCCTCAGTCCATTTAGTGTGTTTCAAACGTGAATGTGGCACTGAATTATAGACAGCAATCATGCTAGAAAGCGAGAAAAAGTAGCTTTTGTATCTCTTCAAGAGTTTCTGGAAAACTAACCCTTCCCCAGAGGCCCCCGATGGTACTCACAGGTGAGAACACCTCCAAGGTAAGCAGGGAAAAGATCCCGAAAGATCTAGGCCCCCGGGGCCCTACCCCATTCCCAGGTGTCTCCAATGGGGCCTCTGTCTCTGGAATCACCCTCGGGACATCCTTCTCAGCCTGTTCTCAGAGCAATCAGATGCTTCTTCCCAAAGCGATATGTCTTTACTGCCTTTGTTACTGACCACAAAGTTCACACCTACACTTGTACATCATTCTGACACTAAGAACTGTATGGAAAGGGAGCCTTCCCCATAACCCCCTTGGTCCGTAGTCACCCCAAACCTATTTCACCCCTGCCAAAAAAATCTTTGTTGAAAAGTTAGTGGATATCACTCCAGACCTGCTTCTGTATATACAGAAGCCTTTACAAATACAAACCCAGAGCTGTGCCATGTAATTTCTTGTAGAGCCCCTCACGGTGTTACACAGAACTGATGTTCCACTGGAATTTTTGCTCCTTGTGATGATAAACAAGCACAATATCTAGGGCTCTGCCTGGATTTTATCCAGCCTCTCCTTTTGGGAAGGGTGGGCCTGGCTGCTCCACATCAGGGGATGGGATGGGGGTCACCGGTGTCCTCCCAGAGGAAGCCACAGCCGCCATTCTCAGGAGGACACCGGAAGCTGGAAGGTGGACAAAGCTCTTTGGGTCTGTCCTTCACTGGCCTCTCCTACATATTTAGGTATAGGACGCTTCTCCTAAACCTGCATTCTCCCTCCAAATCTCACTGAGCAGGATGCTGAATCCTGGGGGATTTGGAAAAGAAGACTTGTCTGTACATCCACAGAGCTTCCTTCCCCACAGGCCCCCAGGCCTCCCACTCACTGGGCCTGCTTTCCCCTTTCTGGGTCCTTCCCCAACTCCTGACTTCTTGGCCCTCTCTCTTCCTCCAACTCCACTTCATTTCGATTAAATGATCTTCCGACTGCTTTGCTCCGTAATGCCTTTAAGATATTGTATTGAACGGGGGTGCCTGGGTGGCTCAGTCGGTTAAGCATCTGACTCGAGGGTTCGGCTCAGGCCATGGTCTCATGGCTTGTGGGATCGAGCCCTGAGTCTCCACATTCCACGGGAATCTACTTGGATATTCTCTCCCTCTCTCTCTCATAAATAAATAAAAACAGAAAATAAAATGCTTAAAAAAAAAAGATACTGTATTAAAGAACAAAGTTCAGGGCTTTTCTCCAGAAACAAGAATGGATTTCCCATTCGTCGGGTCTCCTGCTTCCAGCTACCCCGCACAGTCTTTTTTGTGTGGCATTAGGAGTTATGGGTTTCCGTGAGCAGAGATGGCTCAACAAGATCAAGAGGGTTCAGAGGGTTAATGTTCTCGGGGGGTGCTTCCCAAGGCCCAGTCTGACTCCTGAGTCCATGGTTTATTCTGGAAATTTCCTCACACAACCCAGCCATCAGAAGAGGGCACATGCTGTTTTGTCTGGAATTCACCCCCAGTGTCAAAGCAAGACAGCAGTGACCTAGCAGTGGCAAGTGAGGGATGTGGGCGCTCCCGCGGGCCCGCCACTTGTCTTTGTACAGTCAGGCTCCCAGGTAAAACTGCTTTCGGTTAGAAACACAGGCCTCGCATCCTGACGATGGAAAGGTGACACACAATACCTCCTCCTTCAAAGCAGTACATTGATTTAGCAGCTGGAGAAAGCACCTGAACGCCTGGGCCACAGCCACCCTCTGTCCATTAAGTGGCTGTGTGGCCCTGGACAAGTCACTACACCCTCTGGGCTTCAGTTGTCTTGGCTATAAAATTAAGTGGTTGGCCTTGTGTACTCTCTTAACCACTTTGATCACAGCCTGTTCTCAACAGGGGGAGGAAGAACTTACCAGCGGGGCTGGGAGGATGGGCAGTGGGATGGGGAGGGGCTGGGCCAGGGTGTGAGTCCTCGTACTATCTCCAGGGGTGCCCCAGAGCCTGAGGATTGGGACCCGCCTGGAGCACCCCTTTACACTCTGTGTAAAGCCAGGCTTCTTCAGATGCTGTGAGCAGGTGAACATTTTGTCATCGCCCCGTCTTCCACAGTAGGCCCTCCATGCACTCTAGTCCTTTCTCCCTGGAGGGATGTGATACTGGCAGGGCCATGGACAGAGTCAGCCCAAGGGGCCTGGGCCTCAGCTTAAAACCTGCCTTTCCTTTTAGGGTGTATTCGCTTCTTGCCCTGCTTTCGGGGAGGCCCCTCACCCCCGGTGGGACATGGTGGAGGCAGCTGGACTGAGGGTGGGGGCTGGGTGGTGGCCAGTCCGTCTTGGAGTGGCTCCGGCCGTGCAGGCACCAGGGTGCTATGAAGTGTGTCTTTCAGGCAAAGCGGCGGGAGCAGATGGCCCACGCGGGAGACGGCAAGCGGATGCCCTGGCTCCCCGTGCTGGTGGTAAGTGCAGCCTCCCCCTGTGAGCACCTGCAGTGGCCCCAGAGGAGGCTCCGGTGGGAGGTCCTCTACTTCCCATGCTGCCGGAGGCGGCCGGTCCCTTGGCCTCTTCCGCGTTAGGTTTACACAGCCGTGCAATGGGATTGATGCTGCCAGCAGCCCCTCACCGGGCTCTTCCAAGGGTGCAGAGCGCTGAGCAGCACCCAGGTCAGATAAGACTTCTTGGTGGCTCCCTTTCTGGGGTTCCATGGATAGATGGAATGCTTCTTTGTGTTGCAATATACACAACCCAGCGCCTGTTGGTGACCACCATGCCTGTGGGTCCCGCCGCTGAGAAAGACCCAGGCTTCTGGCGGAGAAGAGGCCGCATGTGACAGAAATCCACTGTTCTGGAGGCTCTGGGAAGAGGGCCACCTCCTCCGTGACTTTGGGGAGGGTGGAAGCAAGACTTCGTGAGTGAAGGGCGTTTGGAACAGGCCTAGAAGATGAGATGGAGTTTTGAGGGAAGGGTCAGGGGGACCAGCAGTGAGGCCAGCTAGCAGGAAGCAGGATGGTCTGCCCAGTTCACTAGCTGCAGTTGCTGGGACCTGGCACCACATGAACGCCGAGTGACTAGCCGGTCCCCCACCCAGGCTCCTTCCCCTGCAGCGCCTGCTCAGGGTGCCCACCCGAGTATGCGTGCGTGTCTCCAGGGAGGCACGGAGGCCAAAAGGACACCCTTTCTCGTGGCAGGTGTCGCTGCTGTGCTCGGCCAGAGCAGAGTACTCCAACTGCGGTGAGAATGAGTACTACAACCAGACCACGGGGCTGTGCCACGAGTGTCCGCAGTGTGGCCCGGGGGAGGAGCCCTACCTGGTAAGGCCCCTGCCAGCCGCCCCTGGGCCCGGGGAGCTCTCCTCCGTCACACGGGTGGTGTCACCGTCGCGTGTATATGGCTCTACGTGTGGTCCCCAAGCTAAATCAGGCCGGTCGCCCGTAGGCCTCAGGCGCCGTGTTAAAGGGTTTAAGCAGCAGTGAGCACAGAACAGTGCTTCCCTGGCGTGAGAGATGGCTGGACATTTGTAACAGATTTCTCAGGAGTTGTTTCCATTTTTTTTAGAGGACAACCATTTTCCTACTCGACCTTGATCAGATGGGTTTCAGGGCATCTGAATCGGAGGCATGACTAACGTCCTGCAGTAACGGCATGCTGACTCCTGAGTGTGGCTTCTCCCTCTCCTGCAGGAAAGGCTCAGCATGTTGTTAAGGGCTAAGAGAGACGCCCCCAGCATCAGCATTCAGGGCTCTTGTAGAGAGCCAAGAACGTCAGAAGCTCCTGGCTGTGTCACTGGCAGGTCATCCCCTTAACTGGCTGAATTTATTCAGGGACCCTCGGGAGCAGGGCAGCGTCTGAAGCCCAGGAGCACTGGGGAAAGGAGCTCAGAGTTGGAGGCACAGGGGGTTTGCAGTTAGGACAGGTCAGGGAGCCAAAGCCCAACAAGAGAAGCTTCTGGAAACAGCCAGTGTGCCCGGCGTGTACAATGTATCCAGTGTGCCCCAAGGACTACAGGTCCAGTCATGGCAGGTACAGCTGGCGTACTCACCTGTGTTCCTCTGTCCTGTTCCTCGGCCAGTCCTGTGGCTACGGCACCAAAGATGAGGACTATGGCTGTGTCCCCTGCCCGGCGGAGAAGTTTTCCAAAGGAGGCTACCAGATATGCAGGCGCCACAAAGACTGCGAGGGTTTCTTCCGAGCCACCGTGCTGACGCCGGGGGACATGGAGAATGATGCTGAGTGTGGGCCGTGTCTCCCTGGGTAAGCATGGCCGCTGCCAGGCCTCACCCCAGGATGCTTTCTGCAGAAAGCCCTGAATGTCTCAATGGCGAGGCCCCAGGGAACGTGAGCACCTCAGACTACAAAGGAGCGTCACTCCTGCTGGCTCTACGAGGGGCAGCTCCACAGGGAGGGGGGCACCTGTCTGGAGTCAGGAAGCATGGGGTCTAGGTTGACCAGTCCTGCCACCTAGAGGATGGGCGGCCCACCCAGGCTCAGTTTCCATGTCTCTTAAGTGGATGTTAGTCATAATCATAATAATATCTTCTGACAACCCAAATCAAACAAATTTGTTGAATACTTTAAGATAACACATGTGGAATGCTTTGAAGAAAAGGAAACATATATACTGTATAATACACTGTCTAAATCTAGTGTTTTTGGTATTCTGGAAAAATCTGAGAGTAAAAGCTATTAATAGGAATATGTGAATCATGTGGTACCTATAATTCCACTACAATTTGGTTATGTATCAAAAGTTTTCCCAAAAAAGCAAAGTGAAAATGTTGTTAGCATGGAAGAAAGATAAAATCTTTCTTCTGAACGGCAGGACACATTAGCAAGTTCTGCCTCGGAGAGGGAAGGGCAGGCAGCCTTGACACCCAGGATCTACCAAGCCACGGCTCTTGCTGCTGCCTCCCTCTAGTGGCTACACAGCACAGTGCTTGCAAGGGCTACAGATAAAAACAAAACAGTGACAAAGGCTACAGGGTGGTAGAGGTGATATAGGTAGTACAGGTGGTGGTGGTGGTAGTGATGATAGAGGTGGTGATGGTGGTGATGGAGGCAGTGGTGGTGATGATGGAGACATTGGTGATGATAGAAGCCGTGGTGGTGATGGTGAGGATGGAGGCAGGGGTGGTGATGATGGAGGTGATGATGGTGATGATGGAGGTGCTGGTGATGGAGGCAGTGGTGGTGATGATGGAGACAGTGGTGATGATGGAGGTGATGCTGGAGGAGATGGTGGTGATGATGGAGGTAATGGTGGTGATGATGGTGGTGGTGATGATGGAGACAGTGGTGACGGTTGAGGCAGTGGTGGTGATGATGGAGGTGACGGTGGAGGAGGTGATGGTGATGACGGAAGTGGTGGTGGTGGTGACGGAGACAGTGGTGATGGTGGAAGCAGTGGTGGTGATAATGGGTGGTGTTGAGATGGAGGTGCTGGTGGTGGTCGTGGTAGCAGTGGCATTTTGAATGGCACACTATACTTTGCAACCCACTTGTGCACATTATCTTCTCTGGATCATTGTACTGAATTAAGAGAAGAAAAAAAGTAGGAAGGATATATTCAAATAAGAACATGAGGCATTAGTCTGTAAGAAGAAGGAAATACAAAGAAGGCAGAAAGACCCACCAACCTAAGAACAGATTGGAATTGAATAATAGTTTAAAATGAGGAGATCTTACAAACTTGCAGAAATTAACCTTAGTTCAAATTTGTTACAGAGAAGCATTGATTCCCATGGCTTTCACCTTCCATCTTTCTGCTGGTAACCATCCCCCACCCCTACTCTCTCCAGTTTTCTGTCTTCAGTTCAGACCTACCTCCAGAGCCACAGACCTGCATTTCCAAATATCTGCTTGACAACTCCATGTCAGTGTCCCTGAGACAGTGTGTGATTCAAACACAATGGTTAAATGAATAAAGAAAGCAGGGGAACCTTACTGCAGAGGCTTATTTTTCAATATGCAAAAAAGCAGATAGCTATACCTAGGGAAGATATTAGACTGTCTCTTGAATAATAGGATAAAAATAAAAGTTTTGTAGCTGACAGTCTTCAATTTATTTGTTGAGGTTATTGCATTGTGGGGGATCAACCAAAAGGAACATGTTAGAAGAAGCAGAATCGAGTCATCCCCCCACCCCCATGAATGGGTACAAGTGTCCATTGAGAGACTGTTCTGCACAGATGCTGTGCTTGAATGAGAGAAATTCAATATGATCTTCCTATTAGGTGGGTAGAATTAGGCTCTGAGAAAGTGTCTGCTTCCTGGAACTTCATCTTCACTAGTTTTTATTGGTGCAGGCATGACATGACAGAGTTTCATGGCCTAACTATGGGTGTGCCAAGGAAAAGCATGCACCCCTTGCCATGTTCACCTTGGAAAGCAAATAATCCTCTTTTCAAAATCTCAACTCATTCTGAGAGCCTCTCGGTGTGAGAAGCTGACCTGACATTTGCAACCTAGCCTAACTGCTCCTGCATTTTAGTAAACACATGAATTAAGAGCCTACCAAGTAGGAACTAGTGAGGCAAAGAGGAAAGACATGGTTCCTCTTTTCTGTGAGGTAGGGAGACAAGGAAATCAGTGACCACAGTGTAGTGTGATAGGTGCCCACGGTGTTCTAGAAGTCCAGGAAGGACCCCTCCCTTCATGGTTAGGGAGGTGGGTTGGGAGGGGTCTCAGAAGACTTCTCAGGGTGACGTTGGGATGGTGGGAGTTAGTCAGGCTAAGAATTAAGACAGAGCTCTCCAAGATGTTCAGAGCAAAGCTCAGAGGGGCAAGCCACCTGATGGGATGTGGAGCTGAGGGTCCCAGTGGCAGCACGGAAGGCGCACCCATGGGGGTGTGGAGAAACCAGCAAGGCGCGCAGGGGCCAGAGGGGAAATGGCTCTGGAAAATGATGCTGAAGACACTGGTCTTTTAGCTCAATGCTGAAGCGGGCCACCATGCAGACTTTAAGCTGGTAGAGAACACAACTGGGCAGTACCTTGGAAAGAGGCAGCAGTGAGGAAAATGTGCTGCTAGGGAAGACATGGGAGCCCAGGGGCATTGTGAGAACTGGGGCAAGATGGGAGCCTCGGGTGTTGGAAGGAGAGGGGAAATTTGAGTTCATTGGAAGATAGATACCATGGACTGGAGTTGTAGACCGAGGGCATGTGGGGTGTGGGAAAGGAGATCTTGAAGAGGAATCTCAGATGTCACCCTCGGCTAGCTGTGTGGACAGTGATGCCATTTGCTAAGAGGTGGGATACAGGAGGATTAGGATTAGTGGAGGGAAGGTGGAGGGAAGGTGGAGGGAAGGTGGAGGACCCCCGTGTGCATTTGGGGTGGTTGTAACATCAAGACCAAGGTATCTGACAGAAGCTCAGGTCGGATCTGGAAGGCATCTCTGCATGAATGGTGTGGGCGTCGATGGTCCAGACAGGCTCCTCCAGTGAGGCAGCTTCATAGAGGGGAAGCAAGGGTAGGTGCAGAATGGAGCCTTGCCCACAGCATTGCTGGCTCTGACCCAGCCATGCAGCCGTGGCTCAGACCATGCATGCAGCCCACGGTGGTCTGGGAGATTCAACCGTGATATTATTCCAGATGGTCTAAAAGGGGCAGTGATTATGAACTTTGAGCAGCCTGTTTCATTCTTACCTAGATCCACAGAGACTTTCTAGCCAGAAAGCACAGCCCTGGGACCAGTGCATTACCTAACCCTGCCCTGTAGGCAGGGGCCAGCGTGGTCACGAGAAAGGCTGTTCTGTGGCAGTGAAGACAATTTCCTTGGCCCTCACATATTTCCCAGAAAGAGGATTGCCAGTGGAGTTGTTGTGCATGCCCTGTCTCTCGAAGTCTTCAAAAGATAAGGGTAACTATCTGTAGAATTAGTGGGGAGGCTGACATCTATACTCTTAAAAGGGTCTTCCCAGCTCTGAAGTCTTGAGTAACTCCCTCCCTGCTCCGTGAGAATAGCAACCCGATTCTTCCACGCCTTATCTCCAGCCCCCAGGACACTTGCTGAGCGGGTGAAGGCCGCTGTGCTGGAGACACATCTCCACTTGCATCTCAGTGCGTCCTCACATTGCTCCACGGATATGAAGATGTAGTTGCTTTCCAGTTTGGCCTTGTCATTCCCAACCCCCGAGGCCACTGCCACGAAAGGCCCTACTTTATCTCTGGTCCCCCAGCCTCCTCCTACGGGCTCTGTGGAGCTTGGTGCATGTCAGCGGAGGGTGCCAGGGCCTCCTACCTCCTGTTAACCGCCCTCGGTCTAGGGAACAAATAAAGCTCTCATGCTGTGTCACGGGGGAGGATTACAAGGGGTTTTGGTAAGCCGGCCCTGTTTGCTCGGTGAAGGGCTGCTTTCATTCCTGAGTCCGGGTGGCTGCCAGGCCGCAATGCAGGCCACCTCAGAGTTGTCTTCCTAACGCCACAGGTTGCCTTGGCCCTGGCCCCCTTGTGGTTTGGCAGGCACACGCTCCTTCTTTGCCCTCTCTGCTGTGCATCAGTATGTGGCCGAGATGCTGGCAAAACAATGAGCATACACAGCTTTCCTGTTGAGCAAGGCTGCGTGGGAGGACCAGGAACAAAAACAGGAGAATAGGAAGGCAGCTCAGGTTGGATTTCGTAGCCTGCCTCCGCCCTGCCAGGGCATCATCTTACCTACGGCTGGCTGTGGCCCATCTCACCTTCTGCTGGCTGGCTTCTACTTCGTGTCTCCTCCCTTCAAATAAGGCATTCTGGGGTGGTTGGAGGACCAGGTGAAGGACACGGTTCTGCATGACACATTGTGTGGGAAGATGGAGCATCCGATGGCTCAGTGGCATCCATTACAAGCTTAGGAAAGGAAATCTTTGGGGAAATCTATATATCTATTGACATGGAGAAAGTCAGTCCCTTCATAGAAAATTCTAGAGGCCCCATTTATTTTTTTTGAAGATTTTATTTACTTATTTATTTGAGAGAGAGCGCAAGCGCGTGCGCCCATGAGCAGGGGGAGGGTCGGAGGGAGAGAACGAAGCAGACTTCCCACTGAGCAGGGAGCCCAATGTGGGGCTCGATCCCAGGACCCTGGGATCATGACCTGAGTCGAAGGCAGACACTTAACGACTGAGCCACCCCGGCGCCCCCAGAGGCCCCATTTAACCTGTTTTATCTTGGTCTACTTACCTTAATCAACCTTTGAGGAGAAAAACAAAGAAGAACTAAGAAAAGTCTAAACATAGATGCAAGTGTAGAAAATTAGGCCTCTACAGAAAGAGGGAGGGACCCGACGACAATCTTTGGCGGGACTCGGGCCCCTGAATGAACACCTGGCTTCAAGCTGATGGGAATCTGTCAGATAGGCACCCAAACAATTACTCTGCACTCCTGCACAGCCAGGGTGAAGAGAGAGATCTGGGTGTAAGCTACAGCAAGAGTTGCTGAGGTTAGTCCTGAGGAGGAAACTCTCACCTTGAGAATGTTCCGCGCAGCAGTGCGTGCCGGGAAATGGGTGAGGTAGTCAACACACCGACTCCGGCAGTGAGTTCCCACAATGGCCGTCTGGACTGACTCATTTTTTTAGATGGATTGCCTTTCGGTATTTTGTTTCTTGGCTAAGTTATTTAATACGTCACACATCTTGGTCCAGATGCGCGGTGAGGACAGGAGGCCCAGCTGACGCTGTTGCGAGCCCCGTGGGAGTCAGCCAGAGCCACTCGGGATGAGAGCGAGAAGGAGCCGTGTGCTGAGGAGGGGCAGCAGACTGGCCCCCTGGCATGCATGGAGTGTGGCACAGAGTGTGGGCGCCCTGCAGAGCCAGCGAGGAGCTGTCCTGAGCCGGGGGTTCTCCGCCCGCTGGGTGGCTGCACTCTTCATCTAAGACAGAGCTCAGCATCCGGGGTTAAACGGGGTGGGCCTAGCTGTGGTTCTGCTTTTTTAAAAGGGAGGAAAGAGGCACAGAACTCCCTCAGGGCTTTTGTCAGTCTGTGAACTTTGAACTTCCATGGAGAAGAATTTCATCTCATTCATTTTTCCAGCCAATGTTGACCTGAAACTGTCCTTCCTCAGTACCCAGTGCAAGTTCCAGGAATGCAGATATGAACGGGGCTGGCCTGAGGGACTCCCAGTCCAGCCACAGAGACAGTCCTGCCCTGGCAGGGGACTGTGCTGGAGGTGGAGGTGAGGAGTAACTCAGAGCCCCAAGTGCCAGCACTGGGTCTGGATGTTAGGCATCTGGCAGCTGACCTGGAGCTTGTCACCCCCGTGAGGCCACACACAGACACAGGCCGCCTCGTGGGAGCAGACGCACCATAGGCCACCGCACTGTCGCTTCCTGCGTCCCAGGCACAGATGGCTTCTGGAGGGTGGCAGAATGTGTGTTTGAGAGAGGCTTTTTCCAGAAGGCTTAACTGGAAAACTGGCTGTTGTGGCTTCTCTGAGGGGTGTTTTGAGATTGGTTAATTAATGTTTACGAGATACACAGGGGTCTGAGGATAAAAGGCCCTGAGGAAGGGCAGGCAATTACGATCATACTGTTATTGGTAATGGTCTAGCTCGTGGCGGCTGGAGTCCAAAGACCCCCCCCAGCACTCCTGCCACGCTGCCACCTACCCTGCCATCAGTGGGGGCCTGAGTGTGCATGGCTAATAAAACAGAGATTAAAAACCAACCATGGAAAAATCCAATAGTGGAGAGGGATTTTTCATCTCTTGACTTGTAATGAGGAAAAACTTTGGCACCAGCTCACGTTACTTAATCGACCTCTCATGATGTGATAAATGGCTCCATGATCACTGCCGAATGTGTGTTTATGGAAAGCAGGCACGCGCCAAGGGAAGTGCCAAAACCTGCAGGTGGAAAGGAGCCTGAGCTGTGAGTGCCGGAAGCGAGGACTCCTGGGTGGGTGGGGTGACAGGTCCTGTGGAGAGCTCTGACCCAGGGTGCAGAGCTCTGCGGGGAGGGCGTTCTGAGAGCTAGCATGGTCACCGGGGCTGCCTCATTGACATTGGGAAGCTCGAAAGATGTGGCATCAATAGGGGGAAAGGACTTCACCAACTTACTGTGAATGATTTGTCTTTTTCCTTCAGTGTGTACAACCCCAGTGTGAGCACTTGCCCTTAGGCAGTGTCTGGGCCAGGTGCTTACTGGAGGGGAAGCAAAGCAATCAGTTACCACCTGGTTGTGTGTCAGGTAATGCTGAAGGCCTTCTGCGCTGACCTCTCCTAATGCTGATGCTATCTTTCTGTCCTCTGCAGCCAGCTCTGTCCAGTCTCAGCAGGTGTGCAGGAGGTCTGAGAGGTGCCAGAGTCCAAGGGGCTCATAGATGCATTTGCCAGTAATCCCACCAGACTAGAGGCTCTGAGACAGGCACTCACTGGGTCAGGGGGTGCACCTCCTCCGGGGGGTTCTGGTTCACTGACTGGGACACCCAGAGAGCTAATCAGGTTCCACTGGCAGATACTCCAGTGACTGATGTGAATGAAAATGATCGCTCACACACACTGAGCAAATCCATCAGTGAAAAGAACCAAACAGGAGAGGAGATTAAAGGCCTAAAATGGCCCAATATTGGAAAAAGAATGTTCCATTTCAAGTCATGCTGAAAACTCCCAAGGAAACTCAGTGGTCAAAATGGGCAGCTGGCTCTGAGAGCTCCTGATTCCCACAGCATATGTCTCATTCCTGCCTTTGGTGATGCTTGGATCATGCTTGGATCATGCCTGAATCATGGGCATGCCAAGTGGTCAGTATGTGCTTGTGTGACACCTGGCTCAGCCGCCTGCTCTGTCTTGTCTCTCCTTCCCTGCAGCTACTACATGTTGGAAAACAGACCCAGGAACATCTACGGCATGGTCTGCTACTCCTGCCTCCTGGCACCCCCCAACACCAAGGAATGTGAGTGCTCTTGTCCTTCCGTCCGAGCAGTACTGCTTCCCCACCATATCTCTCCTTACCCGGGGTTGTAGAAGGAAGCCAGTGCCAGCACCTGGACAGATGAACTACAGCGAGGGCAAAACCAAAAATGCTCCCGTGGGCTGGCCAGCCTGGCACAGGTCCCTGCAGGGAGGTTTGCTATAGCCGAGCTTAGTGAGAGACTTAGGTCAGTCACCTGCCACCTGGCGTGAGTTTTCTCATCTGTAACATGGGGTCACAAAAATCTGAACCCCCCCCGCTCATGCAATTCATGGAAAAACCAATGAGATCACAGTTGCCAAGGTGTTGTACAAAGTCCTGCAAAGCGCTAGACGATTTTAAGTTCTCATACACGTGTTTTCAAACCAGGTAAGGCCGAGGGAAAGGTGAGGAGCAGTCACAGTGAGTGAACCGGATTCCACGAAGCCCATGTGAGCAGCGAGGCTCACAAGTTCAGAGTCCCACCATGGGCTGTTTCTTTCGTGTTTTCATTCTCGTTGATTCTCACTGCATGTATCTGTGAGGAAGGGAACTCTGCTCCAGAGAATGTAGTGTGTGGTCACTTGGAGCTGTGGTCTGGAGAGATGCCATGGAGGTGGGTGGGCGGACAGCTGGTCCCTGGGCCACAGGAGACCTTCCTTGCTCTCCCCCAGCCCTACTTCCACTGCAGGGCAGAAGAGGGGCTGTGTGGGGACCCTGCCTCTCCGGGCTCTCTCAAAGGCCCCCACCCCATGTGCTCCCAATAATCCTGCCCAGGAGAATAGACCAAGGGCCTGCCCCTTAAGAGCGGTGGGAAGTGGGGAAGGAGAGCAGGAAGAGAGGGGGACCGCCTCTCCCTCTTCTTCGCCTTCGGGTTCAGGGGGAGGAGGTACCCAGGTGAGCATGTGTCAGGGCTGCCGGCAGGGAGGGGGGCACCCCCTCTTTCCTAGATTGCTTCAGTAGACGTGCCCGCAGTAATGGGTCCGCGTGTCTTTAAAGCGGAGCTTTGTACCCAGCCACATGCTCATTAATTCACAAATTAGAGGAGGCCCAAGGGCTCTGGACTGCCAGCAGGTCCTGTGGTGACGTCAGCTGCCGTACCACTGCCTCCTGCTGGGGGATCCCAGCCGATTCAATACCAGACAGCTCTGGGCTGGAGCCCTCACTGAGATGTCAGACACTCCCCACCGTGTTGAAAAGGCTCTGCCTGTGGAACCCGGAAAACAGCTCACATGTGAGGTTTGTCCCTGTGCGGGACTTACATAACCTGGCTGGCTGGAGGGACACCTCCCTCCTCTCGCCATCTGATAGTGGGGTCCATCGCATGAGGAGAGAAAGCAAAGCCCCTGAGCCCTGGACACTTTGAGAATGAGTGCATCCCTGCCCTAATCCCCAGCCCTGAATTGCTTAACTGAAAACCAGCTCCCAGTAAGGCCTCATAGCAGGTTCTTAGCAGCCAGATCTAGAAGAGGACAGCAAAACCATTGAAACTTAGAGTCAGGGTGCAAACCACCAGAGTTCTGTGTGTCTGTATGGGGTATGGGGAGAGGCGACTGGCTAGGCCTTGTCGAGTGACATGGTGCATGGAGCCTGGGTCAGGGCCTCGAGTGTGGACATGAGTGTTACTCTCTCCAGCTATGGGCTCTGCACCTCCCCCTGCAGTCATCCTCAGTCCAGAGATCTTTTGACCCCAAACTCCTGCTCGGGAGCAGCAGATAGAACCAGAAAAGCTGGTTATGACCACAGCTTCCATGAAGACCCTGGGACTCAAACCCCCGGGGCTGCCCCTGACAGCGTCACCCCAGGAAAGCCAGGAACTGAGAGAAACCTCATGCATCATGACCCTGATGTCAGCTTGCTGCCCGAGCCCCACCAGGCACCTTCCTGAGCCTGCAGTCAGTGGTCAAGAGCGCCTTTGCCTCCAACCTGAGACACTTCCTCTGGTTTTGATGTGATTTCCCTGGGTCCTTGCTGCACGAAGCTACCCTGAGTCAATGAGTAGCAGACTGCAAAGCCATGGTCAGAGAACTTGGCACAGACCCTGGGGAAAGCATGCAGTGTGTGTATTAGGTCTGGGACAGCCAGAGGCGACGGGCAGCTCCTGGGAAGATGCCCGTGTGGGAGTGAGCCCCGGGTGCCCGGGTTGGGAGCTCCTCAGTAGAGAGGGCCGGTCGGGAGCTGCTTCAGCTCTCCCCTACCCTCAGGGGCACTCCCTGTCTCTCTGTGCGGCGGCTGCTTCCATCTTAGAAGAAGAGCTGCTTCTCTACGCGGCTCTGTGACGTGTTGGGCAATGGGGCCATTGGTTACAACCATCTTGCCTTTGGGCCAGTTGTCATACCTGATGAAAACAGAAGTTAGTGGAAGTTACTACGGAGCCTGGTACTCAGGGGCCCTAAAATACCCTACAAGCCTCGAAACCTCCCTCCGTGTCTGTTTCCTCTCCTGGACAATTGAGAAAATTATATCCTCTCAGTGTGTCAATAGGGCTGCCACATCCACGCCCCAAATACCTTGAGTACTGAAGACACAAAGCCAGTGCAAATGAGGACTCTTCTCTAAACCACTAGAGTGCAACAGGGAGGCCCCCAGACGCTCCAGGCACCCCTAGAGTGCTGAAGAGCCTTGAGAGAGGGGCCTCCCCTCCCCCCACCTCTTGTGACGTGCCCCTCAGGAAAGCGTAGGGCTTCCTTCTGGATGCTGTGGTGACAGAAGCCACTTCCATCCCATTGCTGTCTGTCCTGGAAATCAGCACCAGATGGAAGAGAAAGAAGAAGCCCTTCAGTTATTTTTCAGTGAAGGCAAAGAACAAGATCCACTTGGTGAACCAGCACTGTTTTTTTCTTTCCTGAGAAATAAAGTCCTGAGAACTCACGCCTGAGAGCTGTCTCATAATGGAATCCGTGTTGTGGCTTTGTGAGCCTGGCTCCACCCCGGGTCTCCCAGGCCCATGTGGCCTGCACCTCACCTGCCGACCTCCTCTCCTCCGTCAGCTCCCCTGGGCCCAGCTAGCAGGAGCCCTCCCTCACAGAGCTCTGGAGGGACCAGTGAGGCAGCTCTGGGCCTGGGGACTCACTTGTCCCATCAGCATCATGTTTATCATCACTCCTCTTCATTTTTATTTTGACACCGAGCCCTGTGTCAGGCCCAGGACGGACTCACCTTTTGGAAAAGCCTGCTCAGGAAAGCTGTGGCAAGTTTCATTCAGATGCCATCGTGCAATGCCCAACAGTGATGCCACTCAAGTGTGAAGCTTTGGCATCCCCAAAGGCCAGCTGTTTCTAACACAGTGTTTCTCAAGCTGGAATGCATACACCTGTCACCAGGGTCCTGTTAAAAAAGAGATCCTGGCGCAGCACGTCTGGGGTGGATGCCCAGACCGCATTTCCAACAAGCTCCCGGGGAACCTCACTTTCAGCCGCGGGGTTCAAACGGCTCTGCCCGTTGTTCCAGGATCCGCCACTGGGGGGCGCTGGGCCGACGCAGCAGCCTGGGGGCACCCTCGCCAACAACTCTTAAGAATCAAGAAACAAACCACTCCTGAAAATCCAACCTACTTGCCCCATGCAGAGAGAATCCCAGCAGTCTTTAATACATATGGCATATTTATAAATTGTGTGGATTAACAAACCTCAAAGGCCCCGTAAATCCTGTCATCACACTGAACAAAAATATTACTGCATTAAGCCACGTGCTTACAGTTCTCAAAATACTTTTGAGGAAAGTGGACGAACACCGTGCGGAGCCCGCCACCTCCCATACCTACTGTCCCAAGTCAGTGCTGCTCCGAACACACCAGTGAGCTAAGCAGAGGTGTGGCAATTCATGGCGATTTTCTGGGACTACAGTTTTCATTAACCCTGCCTTACTCCTATCCTGCAGGATCTCCTCTCTGCTTATTCAAAGCTAGGCTCCAGTGGGAGCATCATGCAGGGTAAGATGGATCAGTAGTTGACCACCCAACAGAAACAACAACTGAAGAACATTCTCATCTAATGATCTGTTCCATGGAGGCCAAATGAACCCAAAACACAGGGCACATACTGGAGCAGAAGGAAACTGTCCAGACACCAAATATTCATGAGAGCAGAGCGGGGCCTGGAACAGGGAACTTCCCATGCAGGGAGCTGGTGGCCGTGGCATGCTGTCCTAGGGCACCTGTGCGTGGAGATAGACCTCCAATCATGCGGTCTTCCCGCCCACCCTCCCTCTCACTGTGGGATGTGCTCAGAACAGAACGTTCCCCTGGTCGGCTCAGGGATCATGGAACAGCCGAGCACACCCCGCCCAGCGCCTGCAGCTCAGGGCCCTTCAGTTGACACTGGCTGGAGCTCAGTTCAGGGAGAATGTCGTACACCAGGGTGGAGGCCCTGCTTGCCACCTGAGCGAGGACAGGAGCCGCCCACTGGGGGTGGTGGGGTGTGCGTTACCGACGTGCCCTGGCCCGCATGCAGTGTTTGCTGCTGGCGCCTGGGGAGCAGCCCTGCCAGCCGGACGCAAAGGCATCTCGTGAAGTCAGTGTGCAGCCAGGCTGTTCTCATTGTTCCTCTCTGGACCACAGTCCTGGGCGCATGTGTGCCCCCAGCCCCTGTCCCCCAGCCTTGGCCAGCAAGCCCCGGCAGAAAGCGACAAGAAGAGACAAAGATGACAAATCCGCAAACAGAACCCACAGTATTTTTTTCCTGAGGAATAGCTTAAGCTCCCCTGAGTTCCTTTGTTTTCAGTGTCGTGTTTGCTTTTAAAAAGGAAAGCAGGTTCTGCTTGAAGCCCTGACCCATGTCAATTTCCCCACTTGACTGGATGCCGTTGAAGCCTCCTTTGCCACACTGGAGGGGAACCGCGTGGTCTGCACACAGCAGAGCCTCCAGCCCCAGGGTGCCAGGCGCACAAGCCCTCACAGGGATGGGGGGAGGGGGGCGCACCTTCCCACCAGCACCTCCCAAGGGGCCACTGGTTCTGAGGCCAGGGGAGAAGGCTAAATGGAAAAGCAGAGAGTTGTCGTGAGTTTAGGGGTAAAGGGCCCAAGAAAGCTTCTGTTTGTGCTCCAGAAAGGCAAAGAAACCTCTCTAAGCTCTGGTCACCAGCAGGGCCACTCCCTAGAACCGCAGGTGCCAGAAGACCCAGCAGAGGAAGCAGAAGAACTACCCCTTCCAACTGTCATCGGCAGCGTTCCTGCTTCAGACACCCTCCCACTCCCAGGTCCCACTTTCCTGCTTCCCATGGCCTCAGGGGGCAGCCACTCCAGGAGAAAGTGGTGTGACCATGGGGCCCGAGAGCTGGGGCGGGGTGGGGGGCTGGGAGTAGGGTGGGCAGCCTCTGTTCTGAGCAGGTCAGCTCTGCAGTCTGCATTCATTCAAGGGCAGCCCGTGCTGGTGAGCCCTCAGGCCCCACGGGCAGGCCTGCTTGCACCCCTCAGCACACCTCTCTCTTATAGTGGGAGAGCTAAGAAGTGGTCCCGGCGACCAGCAGTTGAGAAAGAAGGAAAGAAGCAGGAACCACAGAACTCATGGTGCCCTGCGGAGGGTAGAGACCTCCCCGTCCATCGTGCAGTGCTCTGGGCCCACCAGCGTCCACATCTGAGGCAGCCCTTCAGGAACAGAGACAGGTGAAGGGGCCAAGGCCAGGAGCTCCAGATAAGCTAGGTCCCTGGGCTCCAGAAGCAGCAAGTCCCCAGAGAGGAGACTTGCCTCTGGTGCTGAGAACTCAGACTTGGCAAGACGGCTCCCAGCATGGGCTGGAAGCGCGGCAGGGCGGCACCAGCAGCTCCCATGCTGGCCAACAAGCCTTCCTGGGCTCCTGGGCCAGCCCCGATCCTGGAGTTGCTGGGGAGGGTGTGTGCCTCACAGCCTTCAGTGCTTCCCCCACGGTACATGCGATGTTTGAAGAGACTGCAGATGACATTTCTCACCCAGTGGCCAACAGTTAAATTCCCAGACAACCCAAGTGACCAATGGGGAGACTCTGAGACCTACGGCACCTCACAGAAGTGCAGTTACCCCAGGAGCCAGTCCTTAGCCTGTCCCCGGGCCCTCCCAAGCTTCCCTTTATTTTAGTTGCAGAGATTTCTATTTGTGAAAGGGTGTAAGGAGCAGATGTTTCTGGCCCTGCTGTCCCGTGACCTTGTCTCCTTACTGGACGCAGATGTGTGGCTAATTCAGCAGGACTTGCCTCACCCGGTTGGCTATGGTCCCCGTCTCTGAGTTGCCCCATGCTGTGTGCACAAGTGGCTTTAGAAATACCAGCCACAGAGTGTGGTTTCTCCTGAGAAGTGTCTCTTAAAGAAAACGTCCCTGTTAGAGATGGTTCTCATGGAAGCCTGGAGGCCGGCTGACAAAGGTCCCGGAGTCAGCACCACTCCTCCTTGCTGGGAGGGCTGTGGGGACCACGTGTGTGACTTTGGGGAGGCCAGCTCACCCGCCCTTGCTTGGGAGTGTGCAGGCCCACTTCACGAATTACTCCAGCACGAGTACGGACAAAAGCCAGACAGAAGGACACGTATTTGAAATAGGATCATTTTTATCAACAGCAAAACTCAAGTCCCACCTAAAGGAAGGTTGACCATCAGGATGCCGTGTTTTCTGTGACAGAACATTTTTGCTTTGTTTTAACGGAACAATTCCTTAGTGACAGGATTGGTCACAAAACCAGCTTCCATTTCACCCTTGCTAAAGTGATACTTTTTAAATAGAGAAGGGAAGTTTTATGAGTCACAGTTTTGAGGGAAAGCAAAGTTCATGTCTGCTCTTAAACTGTTTGGTCACAAGTATTTAAAAAAATGAATCACAGGAAAATCCTAAAGGAAAACACGCCAAATTGTCAACCTCAGGTAGTGAGGCTATCAGTGATTCCCTTTTACTTCTTTCTTGTATTCCCTTTTTCTCCTGATTTTTAATAATGGCACATATTATTTTTATAACTAGAAAAAGTATTAAAACTACATTCTTATTTTATGTAACTGAAGAAATTTCTCAAGCATTATTTCCCCCCAATCCTTCTGTATATATACACGGGCTTTTCTCATCTCTATAGATGGCCTATATTTTACCTCTATTCATAGAAAAATTGAGTTGGCGAGGCACCACTGTTTAGTCTCAGCAGATTTACCTATGTGTCTTCTCCCTGAAGCATAACTCTTGGGAGGTCAGAGTGCTCTTTAGGGATTATGAAACATGCTAAGGAATGAAAGTGTCCCCTGTCCCACCACCCCCTGCTGCAGGGCCTGTGTAATCTAGAATTCTAGATCCCCTGGCTCTGCGGCTGCAACTTGCTTTCCGTCCTTGAAGGTGGGGCTTGTCCAGGTCATCCCGGGGAACACGAGGTGACTGGGTTCCCCTTGCAGGTACAGGAGCCAGCTCTGGAGTCTCTGCCAACTTCCCCAGCACCTCTGGCAGCAGCACCCTCTCTCCCTTCCAGCACGCCCACAAAGGTAAGGACCGTGCTTCTGCAGCTAGCCAGCTGTTACAAGTAACGCGCTTGGGTGAAAGCGAAGAGGGAGGCTGGGAGCAGCTATGAGGAATGGCAGCAGGGGCTCCTCAGTGCCCCCAGTAGCGGGAAGTTGGTCGTGATGTCTGCAAGGAGTGGAAGCGATCTCTCCATGGGCGCCTGGGGTCCCTTAGAACACACTGGCAAGAGGGCGCTTGGGTGGCTCAGTCGTTAAGCATCTGCCTTCAGCTCAGGTCATGATCCCACGGTCCTGGGATTGAGCCCCGCATCGGGCTCCCTGCTCCGCGGGAAGCCTGCTTCTCCCTCTCCCACTCCCCCTGCTTGTGTTCCCTCTCTTGCTGTGTGTCTCTCTGTCAAATAAATAAATAAAATCTTAAAAAAAAAAAAAAAAAAAGAACACACTGGCAAGAAAGGCACATCCTGGAGCCGCAGGGTGGTGCTCAGGGCACAGGCGGTTGCGTGGCAGAGAACAAGTTTCCCGGCCGTGGCTGGGCCACAGCCATTCTGTTGCTGGCTTTCAGATCAACCTGCAGAGCCCAACACTTTAATATTCGTTTCTAAGAACTATATTTTGCTCCCTGATCCCTTAGGGATGGAAAGGCTTTGAGGAGGGTGGAGGCCCCTGAGGCCCCCGTCTCTTTCAGATCAAGGCCTCACGCTGGTCCCTGCTACCATCAGGCTGTTTCAGTGCCATCCATTATTTAAGCATATTTAAGGCCCAGGTCTCAGTGAGGTTCGGGGGCCCTTTGGAGTCCCACAGTGCACTCAAGCACGCTAGCCTCAGCGTCACCCCCCAAACCTGACCCTGCACATTCACAGAGCATCAAAGCTGGAAGACTTTGCTAGGACATAAGAGTCTCATTTCCACCAGGCCCCGAGTGGGGGGCAGGGAATAGCGCACAACTCAGTGAATATTAAAGCACTTATATCATCCATACCTGGCATCCAAATGATGATTTCTTCAGACACACCCCACCCGGGAGGACAGGCGTGGAAACTGGCAGCGCTGGGGCTACGAGCTCTGGTGCCTCTTTCCAAAATGGCCTCAGCCTCCTTCAGTGGGTCCCCAGTGTTTTAGATCTTGTCCCTTTCCTGTGGGAATGGTAGGTCACCTGGATCCTGCCTCGTGAGGGCCAGAATCCTGTTTGTTAGTTCAGAGAATGAGAACAAGCAGCAGGGCATTGCACATGTTGACGACAGGCATTATTGGGGAAAACAGCGAGAGCCCCCTGAGGAAGGGACCCCCATGGTGAGGTGACAGAACAGAGGAAGAGGTGCAGCAGCCCCTTCACCACCTTTGCCCTGGGAGTCTGATTATGACGCTTAGGTTGAAATTGCATGAGACACAGGATGGCGCCAAACCAAGAACAGAATCTCTGGCCCTCCGAGGTAACTTCTGCTTGGATGGAACTGTCTTCAGGACACTTGCTCGTGGGCTTCTTCCTCTCTGCATCCCAACTCACCCAGGGTTCCCAAAGTAGTAACACCAAGAGCGAGCACCTCAGGAACAACTGAGCAAACCCGAAGCATGGTGTTCCAGATAAGTCTGGATCAGCCTCAGTTAAGGCCAGCTATGATGGTCAAGGCAAACCTGTAGGGTTTGGGATTCTGAGGGTCCCCTGGAAGTGTCCCCTGCCACAGGCACCGCGGTCTTCTCAGAGGGTGGATTCTGTGGGGCTCAGGAGCACCTGTAGGGAGTCCTGAGCCCCATGTTGCCCTCTCTCCCTGTCTCCAGCAGAGCTCTCAGGCCAAGGGCACCTAGCCACAGCCCTGATCATTGCCATGTCCACCATCTTCATCATGGCCATAGCCATTGTCCTCATCATCATGTTCTACATCATGAAGACAAAGCCTTCTGCTCCAGGTGACTGCTCCCCAGTGCCCCCACTCCCTCCCCACAAACGCTTGCTCGCTGACGGTTCTGTTCTGTCAGCTTACCTAGTGCATGAGTCAGGCTCCTCACACCCTTGCATTTCTCCAACCAGCCTGCTGTACCAGCCACCCAGTGAAGAGCGTGGAAGCCCAAGTGAGCAAGGAAGAGGAGAAGAAAGAGGCCCAAGGTCTGCAGACCGAACCCCCACAGCACGGGTGTCCATCCCAGGGTGGAGATTGTGTGCCCCGCTCGCCAACACCTGGAAGCCTGGCCTCCCGACTGCTGGTGCTCTCATGCCACCCAGAACAGGGCTGCAGGAAGAGGCGTCGGGGCCCCCACATCGCGCCCTGGGCGCGGTGTGGCTTAGTCACCGGGCAGGCCTGCTAAAGAGGAAGTGAAGGGAAGCAGGAAAGGATGAGTTCAGAGCCAGGGACTGACTCCAGCTCCCTTCCCCTCACCCTCATTCTTCCCATTTACCTGCAGACAGTGTGGTGATTTTCTCTGAGAAGGACGAATTCGAGAAGCTGACCACAGCTCCAGCCAAGACTGTCAAAAGGTAAGTCAAGCCAAAGCAGCCACTCGTCGTGGGGTGGAGCAGCCCCCAGCCCTAGGTGAGGTCAGGGGTCCTCTTGGGGTCCTGAGCAGAAAGGGGAGTGCCAGATGGGGAGCATCCCAAGAAGCCTGGCCACTAGCCTGGAGGCTCCAGAGGGAGCAGGACCCCGGCACGAGCAAGGCAGGAGAGTACCAGGCCTCAGCCTCACCTCTGACCTGACGCAGGGGCCAGGCAGTGTGAGGGGCAGGTGGTTAACACCTTGCTCCAAGGCCAGCTGCCCCCCGTCCCACCTTCCTCTTTAACATCGGGTGCGCAGACCCGAAGCTTGTGAGTGTCCCCTTCTTCTTCAGCAGCTCCCCATGGCCAACAGCAACACTGGTGTCACTAAGCTAAAACCAGAACTAGTTTCCCTAAATGCTGGGCCGCGCTGGTAATGATGATGGCTAGGGAACATTCGGTGCTAGGTCTGTGAGTGCCCACGCACAAGGTGCTAGTATTACCCCTGATGGTGGAAAGCCAAGGTTTGGAAGCTGTCATGTGCCTGAGGTGACACATCCAGGAGTAGCAGGGCCGGGGCACCAGACCAGGCCATCTGGCCCCACAGCCCATATTGTACAGGCTCCAGACCAACCACTAACACTTGTGAAGTAAGACTTCTTAAAGAAGAATTTTGACATATGAGATTTTTACCATATTTAGCGCACATTAGGATGTAGAATCAGCCCTCGCTTTAATAACTAGGGCAGAGGGAAGTGAACTTTTCCTTTGCCCTCTTACATGGTCATTTGGACTTGGTCCTGCTTAGGTTACACAAATCCACCCCATGGTGTCAGTCCCCTGTCTGGCCTCTACCCCGTTGGCCATTCCAGGACCCCATTGTGCCTACGTTGTGGGTGGGACACAGAGGCCATGGGGGGCCCCAAACTAATTATAGGAAGGGCAGAGGAGCACTGTCTCCTGGCCTGCAACCTTCCCAAGGTGGGTGAACTCTTGCAAAGCCTTTCATTTGTAGGAATGATCATGAATCCAGATGTTTGTGTAGAGCTTTGGCATTAATCAAGCACTTCCAAAGGTGTTACCTCATTTAGAAAACTCCAGCATCTCTCAAGACCCCTATTGCAAGGGCAGGAAGCAGACTTAAATCATGAAATCTGTGCATGCTGGGAAAGAAAAGAAAAAGTGGGGGTCCCCCTGGGCAGTCCCTTAGATGGCGGTCATTTCCTGGGAGTGCCTCTGTTCCCCGTGTCAGAGCCCCGGACCTGGCTGGGCTGCGGGGGCTGGCTCTGCAGTGTGCCTCCCTGCGGACGAGTTTCTCCTCCACCCTCCCAACTGTGCAGCCCTGTCTTGTGGCAGCCTTCTGGTCCTCCAGGCTTTGCTCTTTCTCAAAAGTAGGAGACAAGAGTACTCAAAGGGCAGGGATGTGTCCTGTGACTTAAGTTTCATCTAAAGACTGAGGGAAAGGGGGAATTTGGAAGAATATTTGGAAAAATAATACTTGTTTCATATGCAAATGTCAAATGAAAACCGGACAATCGTGCTATAAAAGGCAAGGCACAGAGCTCCTCTCCCCTCTGTCTGCTCCTAGGCCTTAGGGAAAGGACCTGGGGCCATCAGTGTTCTCTGGGGACAACCGTGCTTTTGTTCCTAGCCTGCTGTCGGGGTGGGGGGTTGGGGGGGACAGCGGCAGGGCAGCCAACTCCGAGCAAGGCCCTGAACCTACTGGGCCTCACCTTCATACGGCCTCTAGGGTTGCTTTTGAGTGTGGGCATTACTGTAACCCAGCGGCTAGAAAAGAATAATTCTTTGTAAGTCGTCAGCCAGACCACAGGAAGCGAACAGGATGCCTAAAAAAAGAATGTTGTTTTTCAGCTATTTGGAATGATTTTGAGAGTTTAAGCTCCAACCTACATGTGCCTAGGGCTGTGGACTGTGAGCTGTGGTGGAATGTGGGCCCACCTGGCTTCTGGGGGGAGCTCCCGAAGCCCCTCTTGCAGCTTGCTGTGACCCCCACCTACAATGCACACATTTCAGCCAGGTCACCCCCTAGTCAAGATGGGGGCTCCCTAGGCAGGCTCATTCAGCTCTGTTTGGGGTCGTTGCAGAGAACTTGCACAGATTCAGTGCCGGCCACATAAACCTGTTTGCATTTAGAACAATGCTGAACTTGGAGCTGGCCTGCATTAAAAATAGGAAGCTGAGGGGAGCCTAGGTGACTCAGTCATTAAGTGTCCACCTTCAGATCAGGTCATGGTTCCAGGGTCCTGGGATCGAGCCCCACATCGGGCTCGTGGCTCAGTGGGAAGCCTGCTTCTCCCTCTCCCACTCCCCCTGCTTGTGTTCCCTCTCTCTCTGTGTCTCTCTCTGTCAAATAAATAAATAAATCTTTAAAAAATTTGATATACTGATTTTTTTCACTTGATAATTAGTCCTAAGAGGGGACATAATACATTTATATTACCAGTGATGGTTTCCAGGTCTCCAACTTATGAGTAAATCATTTTCCAAAAGTTTGTGTGCATGCATGTGTGGGTGTGTGTATGTATGCGTGTGATTGTTTAGAATTAAGAAAGCATTGTTCTGGGGTACCTGGGTGGCTCAGTTGTTAAGCGTCTGCCTTCGACTCAGGTCATGATCCCAGGGTCCTGGGATTGAGCCCCGCATCCATCGGGCTCCCTGCTCAGCAGGAAGCCTGCTTCTCCCTCTCCCACTCCCCCTGCTTGTGTTCCCTGTCTCGCTGTGTCTCTGTCAAATAAATAAATAAAATCTTAAAAAAAAAAATAGAAAGCTGGGACATATTCAAGAAAGCTTAACTGAGCTGGGTTGGGGGAACAGACGAACAGATGCTGTCCTCCTCCCTGATGAACCCCAACCGCGTGGGGCTCGAGAGACACCTTGTGAGTCCTCTCACAGGACACCTGCAGGCCCCGCTGCATGCAGGTCATTCATTGGGAGGCGTAGCGAGTGCGGCATGTCTCTCTCACCTCGTGCCCAGGAGCTGCTCAGTAAAAGCTTGGGGAACAAGTCCCTGCATTCCCATCAATCGATCCATCAATCGTCTTCCCACTGGGAAAATGTGTCAGGGCTGCTGCTAACAAACACCCTCCTGTTCCCACAGTGAGAATGACGCATCATCGGAGAACGAGCAGCTGCTGAGCCGGAGCATGGACAGTGACGAGGAGCCTGCCACCGACAAGCAGGGCTCCCCAGAGCTGTGCCTCTTGTCGCTGGTTCACCTGGCCCGGGAGAAGTCGGCAGCCACCAAGTCAGCTGGGGTGAGGCCCTGGCGCTGCTCTTCACACGCTTGTTGGAGCCCCGGGAGGCGGAGACGGGAGGCTGGCCTGCCATGCGGGACCCTAGATAGAGTGGCAGGCTTAACACAAGATAGCAAAAAAATAGGAAACTTATCTCTGTATTATCTAGCTTTATAGAAGAAAATGAAAGTAAGCCAAGAGAAAAGTTAAAATTGCTTGGAATACCGTAAGACAGAAAAAAACCTTTGTAAATATACTGGCATGTGTCCAAGCAGACCAAAAAATATATATATATACACACACGCAGTGTACACACTCACACATACATACACACACCCATAGTGTACACACACATACACAATATGCCCCATTTTTGCATGTAAAATTGCCCAGAGGGCTTGTCACCCAAAGCAGGCCACCTGGGAACGTGCCGCAGCGGGGCAGGGCGCTCGGGCAAAAGAGCACAGCGCTGCCCAGGCTGCCTGAGCACATAGCGCGTGGTTCACTGGCTGCCTGACCCAAGCGTAGGTCAGCGTGTTGCTAGGTAACATTGCTAATGGGGAAAACATCCCTGCTTGGGAAGCCGGATCTGGCTTAGGTCTGGACAGGGATGACACGCTCTAGGCTGCCCTGAGTTCAGGGACATCTGTGATGGTACCCATCACTTGCAGGGACCCTGGAGGCCCAGGGAGTTGTTCTGAGGGGTATTGGCTCCCTTGGGGAGTGGTACCTTTCAGCCAGGATCCAGCATGGGCCTCATGTGTGCTCTGGGAGAAGAGTCTGTGGATGGCTGCAGACACAGCCACAGCATCTCAGGCGCCCGCTGGCCAGCTGGGGTCCCCGCCACTCACCCTCCCACACGGACTGATGCCAGGTGTCTTGTGAGCCTGAATGTCCAATGGAGCCGAAGAGCAGCCCCACCTCTGTGCACACTGAAGGGGTCGAATTTCCTGATGAGATGGTCATGTGAGGGCGCCAGTCAGGGGACAGTAGCTGCCGACACTGGGATGGAGAACTTGCGTTTTTGTGGGCTACCACTTCCTCTTGTTCTGAAAATTAACATTCTCTTCCCTTTTCCCATAGATTCAAAGCCGAAGGAAAAAGATATTGGATGTGTATGCCAATGTGTGTGGAGTTGTTGAAGGTAAGCATGGACATGCTGTTTGGGGACACATACCCCAGATTTCCCCAACTGTCAACATGGAGGAGGTGGCTCTGGCAGGAGTCCTGGGGCCCCGCGGGGGCCAAGAAAGGCCACCCACCCCAGTTTGTCATGTTCCTCATCCCAGCTGCTGGCGAACCCACCTCAGGTGTGGAGGGACGTGGAATTTGGCGCCAAACTATTTAAGGCCTTTTCCCTGGCACTCCCCAAGGTCCTTTCCCTCACAGGACAAGGAGATAACACCCAGCCAGCCCTGGGTCAGGGCCTCCCTGGAGGACCGTGGAGTCAGTAGAGAACAGTAGTGGAAGGAGCCAGTGTCCCCCAGTGTCCCCCAGATGCTGTCTCCGCACTGGTGTTTTCAGTCACTTACCCGGTTATTAGGTGGCCTTGCCCTTTCCTTGGGTCCTGGTCCCCCTCCTCAAAGATGCTTCCCAAGCAAGCAGAGTCAGGCTGTCTCACAACTACACTCTGGGTATGGGAAGCAAGATTAGGAATAAAAGCATTTCAGCCTGAAACCAGAATCCACAGTCCCCATTTCTTCCAAATCTAGGCTCTAAATTACCTTTGTATCCACCCAGGGGACAAAACCCCTCATCACTGAGGTTAGAGAATGTTCCCCAGCTAATCAGGCCACTCGGTCTCGGTCCTGGTCTCACTGGCGTCCCTCCTTGGACTTCTGGGTCTGCCCCAAGCAGGAGTTGTGGAACCTGGGGGCCTCTCATTTCTCCGCAGAGGTGGAGCCCAGCACACCAAGCCCGGGGCAGGCTTGCTGGCTGAGTGCTCCTTTGGACAGAAATAACTTCCGGGGGCCAAGAACTCGACTTGGCTGCCTGTTGAAATGCAGCATCTCTCCATAACTACACATGCCCCATGTCTGATAAGCCTGGCATGGCTGCCCTGTGGAGGATGATCTGAGATTTGCATTCCATCACCCTGGAAAGCTCTTCTCTGTCCCAAAATATGTCTTGGCTTTTAGAGCCCATACTCCTGGGACAGTGGTTTTCAAATTAATTTCAGGAACCCCAGAGGAAAGAGGAGCTTCTCCAGTGAGACTGGGAGGGTGAAGAGTGTGAGCTCCATGTGCTTGGCCACCCTCTCACAGCCTGGGGTGCTCAGTGTGCTTATCAACCCTTGGGGACACTCACATCTCCAAGGCAGGGAACCTCAGACCAGCAGTGCCCAGCCCTGGGGGAATAGTATATACTCACCCAGAGTTTTCCACTGTCTCCCCTCTGCCCAGCCACCCCCCCCAAAGGCCCCAAGATCCTGATGTAATTTGGCTAGGGTGAGTCTCCAGCATCAATTTCTTTTGTTTGTTTTCAATTAACCTTGTAATTCTGAGATCACTGCAGATTCACATGCAGTGGTAGGACACTATACAGAGAGTTCCTGTGGACCCTTTACTCAGTGTCCACCAATGAGACCATCTTGCTCAATCAATCTGAAAGTCACAATCAGGACATTGATACCTGAAGACAGAGCCCATTTCCTTCACCACAAGGATCCCTCTCTATACCCTTTTACAGCCTCACCCACTTCCCCACCCCAACCTCTCCTTAGCATCTGGCAACCATTAATAGTTCTTCATTTCTACAGTTGTCATTTCATGAACATTAAGTGGACTCATGCACCATGTAACTTTTTGCCAAAGGCCCTTTTCCTCCACATAATTCCCCACAGATTCATGCAGGTTGTTGTGTGTGTTGTAGAGTTTTCCTCATACCCCTGAGTACCTGCCCACATTGTGGACGAATCACAACTCGTCCAAGTGTTCATCCATTTAAGAACATCTTGGTTGTTTCCAGGGGCTATTTATGAATAAAGCCACTATAAAGAGCCATGAAAAGGTTTTATGTGAACATAAGTCATCATTTCTCTGGGATAAATGCCCAGGAGTACAGTTGTTGGGTTGTATGATAGTTGCATGTTTAGTGTTTTAAAAAACTGCCGGGGCACCTGGGTGGCCCAGTTGGTTGAGCATCCGACTCTTGTTTTTGGCTCAGGTCGTGATCTCAGGGTCATGGGGTCGAGCCCTGCATTGGACCGAGCTCGGCACAGCACAGAGTCTGCTTGGGATTCTCTCTCCCTCTCCCTCTGCCTCTCCCACTCGTGCTCTCGCTCTCTCTCTCTAAAAGAAATAAATAAGTCTTTAAAAAAAGAACAAAAACCTGCCAAACTGTTTCCCAAAGTGCCTGTACCATGTCCATCCCCACCGGCAATGTGTGAGTGGTCTTGTTTCTCTACTTCCTTGCCAGCATTTGCTAGTGTTGCTGTTTTTTATTTTAGTTACTCTGATAGTTATGTTTTCATACCTCATGGTGGTTTTAATTTGCATTTCCCTAATGTAGCATCTTTTTTTATGTTATGTTAATCACCATACATTATTACATCATTACTTTTTGATGTAGTGTTCCATGATTCATTGTTTGCCTATAACACCCAGTGCTCCATTCAGTATGTGCCCTCTTTTCATGAGCTCATTGCCATCTGTATGTCCTCTTCAGTAAAATGTTTCTCTATCTTTTGCCCATTTTCCAACTGGATTGTGGGGGTTTTTGCTGTTGAGTTTTGAATACTAGTCCTTTGATGGGTATGTGATTTGTAAATATTTTCTCCACTGTGTAGGTTGTCTTTCCATTCTCTTAATAGTGTCTTTCACAGAGAGGTGAAATTTTGATGAGTCAAATTTATCATTTTACTTTTATAGATTTTGTTTTTGGTATCAAGGCTAAGATCTCTTTGCCTAGCCCTAGAACACAAAGATTTTCTCCTCTGACTTATCATTTTGTTTTGCATTTGAGTCCATGATCAGTTGGAGTTAATTTTTATAAAAGGGGTTCTTTGTTGTTGTTGGTTTTTTGGGGTTTTTTTGTTTGTTTTTTGGGGTTTTTTTGCCTGTAGATGTCCAGTAGCCCCAGCACCATTTGTTGGGAAAAGCTATCTTTTGTCCATTGAATTGCTTTTGCACCTTTGTCAAAACTCAGCTTGGGCATATTTGTGTGGGTCTGTTTTTTGGGTTCTCTGCTCTGTTGCACTGATCTTTGTGTCAGCTTTTCTGCCAGTACCACATAGCACACAACAAGTCCTGAAATCAGATAGACTGTTTGCTCCCACTTTCTTCCTTCTGTTCTAAATTGTTCTAGCCAATGTTAGTTCCTTTGCCTTTCCATATAAATCTTAGAATAATTGTCCCTATATCTACAAAATATCTTGCTGGGGATTTTGATAGGAATTACATCAAATCTGTATACCAAAGTTTGGGGAGATTTGACATCTTTACTATGTTGAGTTTTCTAATCCATGAAAATGGCATGTCTCTTCATTCATTTAGATTTTCTTCAACTTTTCTCATCAGCATTATGTAGGTTTTAGAATATAAGTCCTATACATATTTTGCTAGATTTATATCTAAGAACTTCATTTATTTTTGAATGATTGTGACATTTTATCTTAATTTCAGTGTCTACATATTAATTGCTAGTATATGGAAATACAATTGATTTTTGTATGTTTATCTCATATCCTGTGACTTTGCTGAACTCACAAAGTCTCAAGAGTTTTCTTATAGATTCCTTGAAATTTTCTACATGGATAATCACATCTACAGATGGGGACACTTTTATTTCTTCCTTCCCAATCTTTATGCCTTTTCTTGCCTTATTGCACTGGCTATAACTTCCAGCATTATATTGAATAAGAGTAGTAAGAACAGACTTCCTTGCCTTGTTCCTGATCTTAAAGGGAAAGCATGTTTTTCACCATTAAGTGTAATGTTGGTTCTAGGGGTTTTGTAAATGATTTACATTAGTTTTGTAGATAGATTACATTGATTTTTGAATATTGAACCAGTCTCACAACCATGGAATGAAGTCCATTTGTCATGGTATATAATTCATTTTATATATTGTTGAATTCCATTTATTAATATTTTGTTAAGGATTTTTTTATCTGTATTAATGAGGGATATTGGTGTGTAGTTTCTCTTTTTTGTACTGTCTTGGTCTGGTTTTGGTATCAGGCTAATACTGGCTTCACAGAATAAATTGGAGAGTATTTCTTCCTTTTCTATTTTCCAGAAGAGATATGTAGAATTGGTGTTAATTCTTCTTTGTATGTTTGGCTACAATGAAACTGTGTAGGCTGGAGATTTCTTTTGGGAGGGCTTTTTAAATTACAAATTACATTTCTTTAATCATGTAAGGCTATTCAAAAGATCTATTTCATACTGAGTGAGTTGTATTCATGCTTTTTGAGGAATAGTCCCATTTCATCTAAGTTGTCAAATTTAAGTGTGTAGAGTTGCTTGTAGATTCCTTTTTTTTTTAATTTTTTTTAAAGACTTTATTTATTTATTTGGGAGAGTGAGCAAGAGAGAGAGAGTACATGAGCAGGGGCAGAGGGAGAAGCAGGCTCCCCGCTGAGCAGGGAGCCTGACATGGGGCTCGATCCCAGGACCCTGGGATCATGACCTGAGCTGAAGGTAGGTGCTTAACTGAGCCACCCAGGTGCCCCCCCTTTTTTTTTAATGTCTGCAGGGTATATAATGATATTCCCTTCTTCATTGCTTAATATTGGTATTTTGTGTCTTCTTCATTTTTTCTTTATCAATCATACATTTGTCCATTTTATTGATCTTTTCAAAGAACCACTCTTTTCATGTTTCTCTCTATTGTTTTTCCTTTTTCACTTTTATTGATGACTGCTCTTTACTATATCATTCCTCCTGTTTACTTTGATTTTATTTTGCTATCTTTTCCTGAATGCTTGAGATGAGAGCTTAGATTTTCCTTCTTTTATAATGTATGTATTTGTGATATAAATATCTCTCAGTATTGCTTTAGCTGTGTCCTACAAACTTTGATATGTTGTATTTTTATTTTCCTTCATTTTTAAAATTTCCTTTTAGATTTCTTCTTTGACCCATGGATTATTTGGAAGTGTGTTGTTTAATCCTCATATCATGCCAAATGCATTAACAGTGGTGCAAGACAGAGGCCTGCTGAATAGTGGGGCCCTCAGAATGCAGTGAAAGGCCGGCACTATGGAGTTATTCCCAGTGCCAGTGGCTTTCCTCATTGCAGGAGCAGGACACAGAGCAGGAAGTGACTGTTGGTCACTCTTCCCTGTGTGGGAAGTACCAACAGCCATTGGTTCTGGAACCTTCCAGAAAGAAGAGGACCCACACATATTTTCTCCCTCCACCCCCATATACAATTTTCTTCTAAAGGAATGTCAAGGGATCAAGCAGGAATCTAATAAAGGTCTCTGAAAACAATGTCTCTCCATTTGAAAAGTAAACTATGTCTTTAAATGCATTAACTCCATGGAGAAACAAATGTAATAAATCAAATTTAATCCCTGCCCCCCCCCAAGAGTGTGTTGTTTAGTTTCCAAGTGTGTGAAGATTTTCCTATTATCATTGTTTTTGATTTATGGTTTAATTCCATTGTGGTAGGCAAATACACTCTGTATACAGTTTCAATTCTTCTCATTCTTTTGTTGAGATTTAAGGCCTACATTTGAAGAAAATATGTATTCTGTTATTGTTGAATGGAGTATTCTATAAATGTTGATTGGATTTTGTTGGTTGATGGTGATGTTGAGTTCTATATTCTTGCTGATTTCCTACCAGTTGTTCTATCAGTTACTGAGGGAAAGTTGTTAAGTCACCAACTGTAATTGTCATTTTGTCTATTTCTCCTTTCATTTCTTCAGTTTTTGCTTCACATATTTTAGAGCTCTCTTGTTTGATGCATATAGATTTAGGATTGCTATGTCTTCACAGTGGATTGACCCTTTTATCATTATATAATGTTCCTCGGTCTCTGGCAATTTCCTTTATTCTGAAGTCTACTCTGTCTAATGTAATAGCCACTTCTGCTTTCCTTTTATTAGTGTTTACATGGTATATCTTTTTCCATTCTTGTACTTTCAACCTGCCTATATCATTATATTGGACATTAGCTTCTTGTAGATAGCATATAATTGGGCCATTTTTGAGACCATTCCGCCAAGCTCTGTTTTTTAATTGATATTTAAATCATTTACATTTAATGTAGCTATTGAAATGTTAGCATTTAAGATTGCTATTTTATTTTTTGTTTATTCTTTTTTGTCTCTGTTTTTCATTTTCTCTGTTTTCTTTTTCCTGCTTTCCTTTGGGTCACTTGAACATATTTTAGAAATCCATTTTGATTTTTTTTTGAGTGATGTATTTTATGTGTTCTGAGTACATAGCTTTTTCCATAGCTATTTTAGTAGTTTCTTCATCTCTCAACTTCTCTCTCAGTATATATATACAGTTCATCATGGTCCACTAAGGTCATCCTTTTACTAGTTTGAATGAAGTATAAAAAACTTCCCTTTATGTCCTTCCTGTTTATAATTGTCTTAAATATTTCCTCTACATATATTTAGAACCACATCAGTTGCTTCACCTAGCAAACATAATTCAGAAAACCTAAAAGGAGAAGTAAAGCTGTGACGTTTACCAATATTTTTGCTTACTATGCTCTTTTCTGATGTTCCAAGGTTCCTTCTTTATCCTTTCCTTTCTGTTTAGAGACTTCTTTTAGTCATTCTTTTAAGGTAGTTCTGTTAGTGACAGATTCTTATTTTTCCTTCATCCTGAGAATGTCTTGATTTCCCCTTCATTCCTGAAGGGTATTTTCACTGAGTGTGGGACACTGTGTTGACAGTTATTTCCTTTCTGTAGTTGAAAATACTGCGCCATGTCCCTTTGGTCTCCAGGTTTCTGATGAAAAATCCACTGCTGTTCTAATTGCTTTTCTGCAGTAGGTAAGGTGTTGATTTTTTCTTGCTGCTTTCAAGACTTGTCTTTAGTTTTCAAGAATTTATGATGTGTTTTGATGTGAATTTCTTTGGGTGTATCCTGTTTGGAGTTTTCTCAGCTTCTTAAATCTGTAGGCTTATGTCTCTTTCAAGTTTGGGAAATTTTCAGCCATTATTTCCTTTTCCATCCATACCCTCTCTCTCCTTTCCTGGCCTCCATGACACAAATGTGAGATCTTTTGTTTTAGCCTTATGGGTCCTTGTGACTCTGTGTTTTTCAGTTTATTTTATATCTGTTGTTCAGATAAATAATTTCAATTCTATTATCCAGTTAACTAATTCTTTCCTCTATATTCTGCATTGAGCATATCTACTCAGCTTTTTATTTCAATTATTGTCTTTCTGCAGTTCTAACATTGCCACTTGGTTCTTTTTTATATTTTCTATCTTTTGTGAAGGCTTTCTATTTTTTTATTTGTTTCAAGCATGTGTTGTAATTATTTGTTGAAGCATTTTTATCATGGCTTTTTAAAAATACTTATCAGATCTGTTATCTTTGGTCTTCTTTTTTCATTCATTTGAGATCTTCCTAGCCATAAACAGAAGATTTGGCTGACTTGCCTCACATTCTTTCCCCTTTTTGGAAATATTTTCAAAAATAAAATTAAGAACATTTGAGATCTGCCTAGTTCTTGGTGTGCTGAGTGGGTTTCTATTGAAACTGGAAGGTTTATGTCATGTTACGAGACTCTGGATCTTATTTAAACCTTCTGTTGTAGCTGGTTTCCTCTGATATCTCTCTGGAAGTAGATGTCTAGCTTCCCATTTACCCTTCATTGACACCCAAGTAGGGGCTTCTTTTTGTTGCTGGCAGGGGCGTGGGGTGGGAATCTGTTTCTCTATGTGGTCTCCACCGATACCACTGGAGTGGACAGGCTCTCAATTTGACCTTCCCTGACAACTGGTGCAGTGTTACAACCTACTGAGGGTGGACGTCAAGCTCCCATTCAGCCTTTGCTGGCCTTAGTGGGGGCGGGGCCAGAGTTTTCTCTGTGGTGTTTGGCTGTAACAAAGCAGTTGTCTAAATGTTTTCTTCTTGCTGAGCTTCTCTTTTCCTAGTGCTTTAGCTAGAGAGAGCAGGTCTCTGTTGGGGCTATTTTTGTTTGTTATTGGTGTTTCTGGGTTGCTGGACTCTTCAGCTCCATGTCTGGGATAATGAGGCAGAAGGAAACCAAGGAACTCAGCACTGTGTCATTGCTCTACTTCCAAGATCCCTACCAGTCTGTCTTTTCTGTCCACAGGTCTCCTTATGTTTGCTTTGTACATAGCATCCAGGGTTTTTAGCTGTACTTACCAGAAAGAATAGGGAAAAACATATTTACTCCATCATCCAAAAGGGAAAATGCATCAAATTTTTTTTTTTTCAAATGCTCCCAGGCGAGTCTAATGTGCAGGGAAGGCTGAGAACCATCAGGTGGCAGTGACTTGGCTCAGGTAGCACCAACTTCAGGCTGTCTCTGAAAGCACCTTTCATAAAGGTGATTGCTAGCCCCATAAAGGGATGTGATACTGTTCCTTTGACTCCCTCCTCAGCCCGACTCCAGGGGAAGCAGGGTCACCCGACTAAGGGTAGCCCATACTCAAGACTTCAGTGACTGCTGACAATGGTCTTTTTTTTCATTTTTTATTGTTATGTTAATCACCATACATGACATCATTAGTTTTGGATGTAGTGTTCCATGTTTCATTGTTTGTGCATAACACCCAGTGCTCCACGCAGAATGTGCCCTCTTTAATACCCATCACCAGGCTAACCCACCCCCCACCCCCCTCGCCTCTAGAACCCTCAGTTTGTTTTTCAGAGTCCATCGTCTCTCATGGTTCGTCTCCCCCTCCGATTCCCGCCTTCATTCTTCCCTTCCTGCTATCTTCTTCTTTTTTTTTAAACATATAATGTATTATTTGCTTCAGAGGTACAGATCTGTGATTCAACAGTCTTACACAAGTCACAGCACTCACCATAGCACATACCCTCCCCAGCGTCTATCACCCAGCCACCCCATCCCTCCCACCCCCCACCGCTCCAGCAACCCTCCATTTGTTTCTTGAGATGAAGAATTCCTCATATCAGTGAGGTCATATGATACATGTCTTTCTCTGATTGACTTATTTCACTCAGCATAACACCCTCCAGTTCCATCCACGTCGTTGCAAATGGCAAGATCTCATTCCTTTTGATGGCTGCATAATATTCCATTGTGTATATATACCACATCTTCTTTATCCATTCATCTGCTGACAGTGGTCTTGAGGGGATTACTCTAACAGCCAGTGTGGCAGCTATTTTCCCAGGAGGAGAGGGGCTATTATTAGGGTTAGGGTACTTATGCTTCTCATGTGGCTGGCAAAGTCCTGGGTGTAGTTCACCTCAAGCTATGCATTTATCTTGTGTGGTTTTCTGCATCTGTGTTTCATTTTACAATTTAAAAAAAGGTTTTAAAAATAATTTTTAATGGTGTTGAGCTTCTGTTACCTGCCATTCACAGTGTCTGACGAGGCCCTTCATCTCTGCAGGTCTCAGCCCCACAGAGCTGCCATTTGACTGTCTCGAGAAGACGAGCCGAATGCTCAGCTCCACGTACAACTCTGAGAAGGCCGTTGTGAAAACATGGCGCCACCTCGCCGAGAGCTTTGGACTGAAGAGGGATGAGATTGGGGGCATGACAGATGGCATGCAGCTCTTTGACCGCATCAGCACGGCAGGCTATAGCATCCCAGAGCTGCTCACAAAACTGGTGCAGATCGAGCGGCTAGATGCCGTGGAGTCCTTGTGTGCGGACATACTGGAGTGGGCCGGGCTTGTGCCCCCTGCCTCCCAGCCACCCACGACAGCCTGAGGAGCCTGCCTGTGGGCTGTCTTCCCTGGGAGGCACCAACGATCTAACAAGGGCTCTGGAGCTGTGAGTGCTGCCAACAGACTGCCAAGAATCGAGGCTTTTTCTCCTGTCACCAGGCTTTGCCTTAGGTTGTTCCTAGGAACAAGAGGAAATGAGGCCCGTCTTCCAATCTAATCAAAGATAAAAGATTAAAGCTGGGAGTATCCCAGCTCCCCACCTGTACCTCATCAGGCAGGATGAATATTTATTCATGAACTCATTCAAGGGACGTTGTTGGGTGCTCAGATGAACCAAACAACATGAGGATGACAGGGGTGAAGAATCTGGTCCCTGTCTTTAAGGAGTTTACAACCTAGGGAGAGAGAGAAGACGTGTTTACAAACCACCTTGCTAGAGGACATCAAAGAGTCTGGGTGAGGGGATGGTAAGACAACGTAATAGAAGTTCTGAGGGAGGAGATGGCTCCCCATGGGTGATGAAGGAGGGCAGCCCCATGAAGAAAGCAACTTGAAAGCCTGGTGACATGGCTACAAAAGGCAGATGTCCCATTCCATGTAGAGTGTCAGGGCCGGTACTTGTCTATGGATATCCTGAGTGGCTTCATTGGGATACCTTTGCCTGTTCTTGAAGCCATCCGTATTCCTACAGCCCTTCCAGTCACTAATGGAAGAGTTCACTCTGTGGCCTGCCTTCTGTCCTGACATAGAAGGTGTGTGTCTGGTTAAATAGACCTGTGTCTAGTCAGTGGCCGGTTTCACCTACTGCATGAATCCCAGGCCTGCCACCTGGTGGTTTTGTATTACACATGAATTGCTTTCCACTCTCATCCTTAGTCAGGTTTGACCCTTTTGTGGGCAGCAATGCTCAAGAACACAATCTATTTAAATGATGGGTCAGCCTGTTTTTGCTTCAAACAGAAATGAGTGGTCCGCTCTATGTATAAAGAGAAATGGTGACTTCCTAAGAGTTCAGCCATGCATAATTGTAGATTTTGAGCATCTGAGACTTGTCGATGAGCCTTGTGGCATGAGATCTTCTGAACCAGTTAAGGAACGTGGGGCCCCACAGCACAGGAAGGGCCTGGGCTTAGAATCCAGGGACCTGGTTCTAGTTGTGCCAACGTGGGCCATTTTCTTCTCTGCAAAGGAGAAGTTAGCCTGTGGCTCTGTAATCAGGGTAAGTACAGTTCAGGTGGGAAATAGGAAAGTAGGGCTGCAGGAAATGCCAGGCCTTTGAGGTACACATCCAGGTGAACACTGTGAGTCATCAAGTTAAATGAGACATGCTTCTAAGCAGAAAAACTCAGAGTAACTAGTTGTTTGATACACGTTTAGAGATAAAGTAATAAACTGGCATTGTTCTTGGCAAATTCTCTTACTACACCTGCAGTTGCCAAGAGTGTGGGAGCCAGGGTAGTGATCATACCAGGGGGTTAATTTAGAGTTCACTGCTGAGCTTCCTAATGACAGATCTGACTATGGGTTATTACTAAATTAAAACCAGTCTCTGACTTCCAAAGCTATGTTTTTAAAATTACAAGTCACATGACTGAACAAATGCTTTGGGGGGAGGAAATCAGTCATATGTTTAGAGCCAACAAGCCAACAAACCATTTCCCACCAATGAATGTAGAACATACTGTGATAGGATCATAATTAGGTCCTGAATATTTAATATCATCATTTGCTGTGTCTGTTTGCTGCTGTTTTTTAGAACCTATTTGGTATATCCTCCATGGCAAAATTTAATTCTCCTTTTAATTCCTCTTTGAAATCCTACGGCACCCCTTTCTCCTGCTTTGTGATAATGATAATGAGAGTCTCCCCCTGAATTAGGATGCAAATGTCACATGTGATGAGCATGCCATTCCAGGGAGACAGCCTGCAGTTTCTCAAGAACAACATTTTCAGTGAAGGAGCAGGGGTGGCTGTTCCCAGGCCCAGAGCTTTGCCTCACTTCCTGGGGCCGGAGGTCCAGCCAGCATCACACCATGTTTCAGTGACCCTCAACTCGCAACTTTTAGGGAGCTAGTCCTTATGGAGCTAAACATTCTTTTGCCATTTACTTATTTGGAAACAAATCCAAGAACAGTTTATTTTGATGGACTTTAGCCTACATTATGGAATTCAAATCGATGAGACCATAACGATTATCACTGACCCTCTGGGATTTCTACCCTGCCATTTTGTACGGAGACAGTCATTATTTTGCTATACTTAAAAACATTTAGGGAGCATCCGAAGCTAAGAGCTATGGGCCCTAGCCAGTGAAGTCTTAATTGTCAATAGTTTTGTCTAATTTTGTATATATAACTTATTATATTTTACAATTTCAATAAACTAATAAAAAGACCTACAGACTGCTACAATGTGAGTTCTTTCTGGGGGTGGAGAGAGGGAGGAGGTGGGTGAGTGGAGAAGCCTCTGATTACTCTGACCCATGTAGACTGCCGTGAGACTGCAGCCTAAATGAATTGCCTACATTTTTATGGCCTGGGCCGTGTGCTTGACAGAAGCAAACATTACACTGAGATTGTATAAAAAAACACCTGGAGCCTTGCTTTCCAAGTTGCCGTCACTATATCACTTAGCTACTGCTGTGTAATCCCAAAATACCCAAAATTCAGTGGCTTAAAGTGACAATATATTATTACAGTTCAGAGGTCAGTAAGGATCTCAGCTGAGATGGGCTCAGTTGGATATGGCTCAGCTGGGGCCTCTGTTAGGATACTCTCACTGGGGTTGCTCTGTTCCATTGTCCCCCATCCTTGGCCTCAGACCATTATCTAGGCTAGGCATGCCTCCAACATGGCAATGACAGAGGAGCAATAACGAGCAGACACAAAATTTCGTCAGGCCTACACCCAGAACTGGCACATCATCACTTCTAGCTCATTCTTTCGGCCAAAGCAAATCATATGGTCAACCCAGAGTCAAAGGGAGGGAAATAGACCCCACCCTAACTCTATGAAGAACAAAGTCAAATCACAAAAGGTAAAATATTAGGGCAGACAATGCAAATGTCCACAGGTATGTTTGTTTCCTATGGCTGCAGTAACAAATCACCACAAACCTAGTGGTTTAAAGTAACAGAATTTATGGTTTTAACAGTTCTGGAGGTCAGAAGTCCTAAAGTCAAAGTTTGAACAGAGTTGTGTTCCTTATGGAGATTATAGAAGAAAATCAATTTTCTTGCCTGTTCTAACTTCTAGTGTCTGTCCGTATTCCTTGGCTCATGGATCCCTTCCATCTTCCAGGCCAGCAATTCTGTATCTCCAATCTCTGCTTCCCTTGTCACATGTCCTTCCCTGACACCTTCCTGCTTCCCTCTCTTTTCCCTTGTGATCACATGGGGCCCACCCAGGTAATCCAGAATCATCTCTCCATCTCAAGATGCTTAATCACCTCCGCAAAGTCCTTTTGCCATGTAAGGTCACATAGTCACAAATTGTAGGGGTTAGAGGGTAAATGTTTTTGAGGAGCCATTGGTCTGCCCACCACAATAAGTATGTAAGTGACTGTGCACTATGACAATGTAACATCCTCAGAGGAAGTGTTCTGTCAAAGCATACTTTCAGAGGGGGCTGTTTGGTGGTGTGAATACATGTAAACTAAGCAGCGACCGCCTTCCTGCTGGGAACTATGAAGAAAGGATGGACAGCTGGGCTGCAGGTGCTCACCAGCCGGAACTTCGGTGGACCACCTGCCCCCCAACCCTAACTGGGGCACATGAGCTTTGCTCTCCTCCACCTCCAGCCTCAATGGTCCAGGGGGATATGGCAGAGTCTCATGAGAACCCAGTTTGGATTAGAGGGTATCTCTTTATTCAGGGCTCTGCTTACACTTTTCTTCCCAAACATTGCTAGTGAATCATTCACTTTGGCAACAAGGATGACTTTTAGAAGCTTAAGTGAGTTGTTGGCTTTGTGTGGAACATTTGCTGCTCCACTCAGTTCATTTGGGGCCCTTCACAGACATCTTGCATTTTTTAGTAAAAAGCTAAAATCCTGGTACTCCTTCTCATGTGTTGGAATGCTTTTGGACCAGGAAAATCTGGAAACAGCACAAATACTGTTTGCATTAAAAAAACATTTTTGAGGGTCAGCTACACATTCTGGTACAAAGATACCTCATGAGAAGTTCAAGTTTCGTAGGTATTTCATTTTTAAAAAACTTGTAGAGATATAACCAGAGGGTGAAAATCGACAGAAGGCTTAAAATCATTTTTCTGAGAATAACCTGAGCCTGGCTTGTTACTCAAACTAAAAACTACATAGTAATTCCAATGAAACAGATTATTCATGTTCTGTTCTTCCTTGTTTTCTTAATGCTGATCAGCATCACTCATCATACAGGGTAAAAACTTCACTGAGGGTAAAATGTTCCTGTTCGCTCATAATAAAAGAGTGTGGGGCTCTTTTAAAGGCAGTTTTGAGTCCTTTCTCTATGCTTCAGTTTTCTCATCTGTAAATAGGAATTTACAATATTATGTTGTTTTTAGAATTGTGAGAATCACATAATAAAGTACTCCATCTGGCACATGAAAATGTTCAGTAAGTGTCAGCTATCGTTACAATATTATTTAATCTTGAAGGGCATAGAAACTAGTAAACTCACTGCAAAGAACTTTCCAAATGGAATTCAGGTAGGAAAGATGATCATGATTACAAAATGATTAGTACAAGAATTTGTACTAATTTGAAGGGATACATGCACCTTGATGTCTATAGCAGCGTTATCTACAATAGCCAAATAATGGAAAGAATCCAAATGTCCATCAACTGATGAATAGGTAAGGAAGATGTGGTATATATATTCAATGGAATACTACTCAACCATCAAAAAAATGAAACCTTTCCATTTGCAATGATGTGGATGGAACTAGAGAGTATTATGCTAAGCAAAATGAGTCAGTCAGAGAAAGACAAATACCATATTATTTTACTCATATGAGGACTTAAAGAAACAAAAGAGCAAATGGGGAAAAGAAGAGAGAGAGAAGCACACCAAGAAACAGATTCTTGACTATAGAGAACAAACTGATGGTTACCATAGGGGAGGGGGTTGGGGAGATGGGTTAAATAGATGAGAATTAAGGAGTGCACTTGTGATGAACACTGGGTGTTGTATGGAAGTGTTGAATTACTATATTGTATACCTGAAACTAATGTTACACTATATGTTAACTAACAGGAATTTAAATAAAAACTTTAAAAAACTTTATTCCTAGGTATTTTATTCTTTTTGGTATAATCATAAAAGAGATTGTTTTCTTAATTTCTCTTTCTGCTACTTCATTATTAGTATAAAGGAATGCAATAGATTTTTGTGTATTGATTTTTGTATCCTACAACTTCACTGAATTTATTAGTTCTAACAGTTTTTTAATGGAGTCTTAAGGGTTTTCTATATATAGTATCATGTCATCTGCAAATAGTGACAGTTTTGTTTCTTTTCCAGTTTGGATGACCTTTATTTATTTTTTATCAAATTTCTCTAGCTAGGACTTCCAATACTATGCTGAATAAAAGTAGTGAGAATGGACATCTTTGTCTTGTTTCTGATTTTAGAGGAAAAACTTTCAGCTTTTCACTATTGAGTATGAGGTTAGCTGTGGCCTGTCATATATGGCCTTTATTATGTTAAGGTATGTTCCTGCCTATACCCACTTTCCTTTTATCACAAATGGATGCTGAATTTTGTCAACTAGTTTTTCTATATCTGTTGAGATGATCATATGATTTTTATCCTTAATTGTGTCAATGTGGTGTATTACATTGACTGATATGCTGATGTTGAACCATCCTTACCTCCCTGGAATAAATCTCACTTGATCATGGTGTAAGATCCTTTTAATGTATTGCTAAAATTCAGTTTGCTGATATTTTGTTGAAGATTTTTTCATCTATGTTCATTAGGGATATTGACCTATAATTTTGTTTGTAGTATCCTTGTCTGGTCTTGGTATTAGGGTTGGCCTAATGCTGGCCTCATAAAATGTGTTTGGAAGAGTTTCCCCCTCTTGCATTTTTTTTGAAGAGTTTGAAAATGAGTGGTATTAATTCTTTTTTGAATGCATTCTAGAATTTACCAGTGATGCTATCTGGTCCTGAATTTTACTTGTTGCACAGTTTTGGGTTTTTTAAAGATTTTATTTATTTATTTGACCGAGAGAGAAACAGTGAGAGAGGGAACACAAGCAGGGGGGTGGGAGAGAGAGAAGCAGGCTTCCCGCTGAGGAGGGAGCCTGATGTGGGGCTCAATCCCAGGACCCTGGGATCATGACCTGAGCCGAAGGCAGACGCTTAATGACTGAGCCACCCAGGCACCCTATTGAGCAGTTTTTGACTACTGATCAATCTCCTTTCTAGTTCAGATTTTCTATTTCATTATGATTCATTTTTGGTAGGCTATATGTTTCTAGGAATTTTTCCACTTCTAGGTTGTCCAACTTGTTGGCATATAATTGTTCATAGAAGTCTCTTAGGAGTCTTTGTATTTCTATGGTATCAGTTGTAGCATCTCTTTCATTTCTGATTATATTTATTTGAGTGCTCTCTCTTTTTTTCTTGGTGAGTGTAGCTAAAGGTTTGTTACCTTTGTTTATCTTTTCAAAGAATCAGCTCTTAGGTTCATCTGAAGGATTCAAGATGGTGACATAGAAGATCCTGAATTCATGTCCTCCCACAGACACACTGGGTCTAAAGCTACATATGGAACAATTTCCTCTCAAAATATCTAAAGTGGTTTAGTGGTAACTACACATTGGGCAAATGAGAAGAAAACCACATCAAAGCAGGTAAGGGAGCCTGGGATAAAATTTCACCATAAACCAGACCCTGGCACAACAACCCACAACTGGGTGTGTACTCAAAACCCAGAGCTTCTCCCTGAGGCATGAAGGGTTCAAACCTCACATCAGTCACTCCAACTTTTAAGACATACACCTGAGAGACAAGCCCACAAAACGTCTAATTCTGAAGGCCAATAGAGCTCACATCCTGAGACCCACAAGAAGGTAGTGATCTGAGAAATAGCTCTTATAGGGCCCATGCACTCAGACTCACCCACTCCAGGGCCTTGCTGAGGCACACAATTGTGTCCAGACTTAAAGTGAAGGGGGCTCATTGCTTACACTAAAACCTCGCTGGAGGGGCAGACACCTGATTTAACACACACACACAAAGGAGGCTGCTAGAACACACTCCAGGCACAGAATTGGCAGGCATCATCTTCACACTTTCCCCTTGCCATACTCCAAAGCACCAGTATCTTCCAGAAGCGAGCCTTTATGTATGTCTGCTGCTCCGATTTTTGCAGCTTCACCTAAAAGATGCCTCGCGA